TGAGAAACTTCTCACTTAGTTGCAGGTATAGAAATAAAAGTTAAATAGCACACACACATACAATATAATCAATATCATATATATATATATATGTATATTTATAAAGTTAGAAGTTAAAACCCACTTTATTTTAAAAAAAAAAAAAGAAAAAAAGAAAACTCAATTTAGTCATAGAAAAACGTTGACATTATTTTAATTTAAAAGTACTGTAGCGAATGAAGATAAATAGATTATTCATATGAATGCATGTCATTATTGGAGAAATGACAAGTTAGAAAATCAACCAAATGTAGTGTTTGAATGGGAACCAACCCATGGTAATGATGATACCACGCACACATTTTCATACTATTTATTAATTTTCTTAATTTAATCTCAATTATAAAAAATAAAAAATATAATAAATAGTTCTCCGATTATAAATAGTTTTGATATCAATTTAGTTCCTCCCACAATAATAGTAAACTACATGAGTGTTTTTTTATCAAGGAAAACTACATGAGTTTAGTCTTCAAGTCCCTCAAACCTTGTAAACAATATATAGAAGGACGATTTTATAAATCTTTACATAAAGGATTGAATTGATATTAATTTAATCTGGACTCTGGAGAACCAAATTAACTTGAGTCATATCTTTGAAAGAGTAAATAAGAATTTAGTTGATTAGAAAACAATGTAATGTAACTCATTAAATTTAAATAGAAAACACCCTGTTCTAGAACTCATTGATGACAAAGTTTATTTATTTTTTAAGCAAATCAAAGAGCCAGTTCAGTTGGTATTAAGAAAGCAAACCTTGTTACTGCGTCTGCCCCACACCGTTTCAATCTGACTTTCCGAGAGATCCATGACAGCAAGTTCCAAAGGATTATAGGTAGAAGGCATATACCTTAATGGACATTGTTTCCATTGTAACCACTTGAGTCCTGGAGGAAGACATCTGAATTGTCCTTCCAATCTTGAATAATTAATTTGAAGCAGTCTTAAGGATACCATTGGTTGAAAGTGCTTGGACTGAAGGATAACCTCTTTTCCTTTCTCTTCTCTATCCCGCACGTACTTTTTATGCCTCTCTTTGATATATTCTAATGCAGATTTACAACTGGGCTTATGTCTAAAGTTTTCCCAAGTTATTTTATCAGCAGAGCGATCTTCAGGAATAGACATTCTTCTCTTTACACAATCTAAGACAATCCCTCGAACATTTCTGGTTCCCTGCATGTGCTATTCATCGTTAAATTTTTCAACAAATGATGTTCACAATTTTTAGCGGGCGAAATTAATTACAATTTTATGACACTGTAAATTTTTAAATTATCATCAGATAACGAATTCTCCTCAAATTGTAAATGCTGGCATTTTATAATAATTACCTTAAGATTTACATTAAGATAATTTCTAATTTGTTTACAACATAAAAATCTTTAAGGTGTACAGGTTTCTTAACTGATATTTTACAATGCCAAAAATTTTCACATAGAATTAAGAAAGTTTACACAAAAATTACTGTCGGCTTTCTTCAAATAGAAACCCAGAGCATGCCATGAAGTCAGCATTACCAGCTAATCTACTTATCTGCTCTTGTCACAAACCAAAATAGCATATTTCATTGAAATTTTCGCTTAGAACAGTAGATTCTAGGAGAAAATCTAGGATGTAAAGAAAGGGAGGGGACTAGAGACACATCACGTATTCAAGTTATAAGAAAAGTAGTAATTAGCAGATTTGTGTTAGAGACGATTGGCTTAAAGTATGCCGGGTATTAGGATTTGAGAAGAAAAAAAATGTGAAGGTAATTTTTTTAAAGAAATAACTAAGAAATACAATATTAGTACATTAAAGAGTTAATTACCTATACACTGTCGGTATAAATTTTTTTTTTTTACACTGACAACCAATTGTATCTTTTAATTGTGCAATGTCACTGTTAAAAGTAAATGTATTTATGGTGATATGACACAATTAAAAGATATAATTAGTTGGTAGTGTAAAAAAAAATTTATACTGACAATGTATAAGTGATTAACTTTTATTTTAAACTATCATTTTATATTATTATTTTTAAAAATGACCAAATTAAAAAATATAATTTAATTATAATATATTGATGAAATAAAAGTTTTCATATCATTACATGATTTAAATATGGATTTTCTTCTTAAGATTTATGTTGTTTGTGTTTTTTTTTTTATTTATTGACCGATGTTTGTTGTATATTTTTTTCAAAAAGTTTTTAATCCTCTTGCTTAGCCCTATTGTGTAAAAAAAACAGTGATAAAAATAAAGCATAGCAAAAATCAACATAAAATAAGATAAGAATAGAAATTAAAAAGAATGGTAACATGCATGAGCATGAAATAAAAAAAATGAGGAATCATGCATTATTATTATTTTATATATATATATATATATATATATATATATATATATATTATGATTTTATATTTCAACTATTTGCCTCTAATTTTTTTAAACTTTTTTTAATTCATAAGAAAGATCATAATGACAATAATAAACATAGCCTATTTGATTTTAATATTTGTCATCGACGTGATAAGAAAATTAAGTGAAAAAGGAAATGACAGAGAAAGTCAATGCTATTCACAGACTACTACTTTTCTGAAATCAAAACTGTGCTACAATATAATATTTAACCTTTACCTTCATACTCTTCAACACGGTCAAGATTTCACCACGATCCCAAAGCCTGCTACGTAGACCAGCATCTGCAAGGTTTTCACTAACCACAATCTGCCTCCCCATGTCTCTAACTTGATCATGCATCCACACGTTACCATCACCACTGATCTTAATCAAACACCTTGCTGTAAGCAGAGTGACTGCTATCTCCCCACTAAAACCACACCCATTCAACACATCAACCACATCCTCTCTCTTCATTTCCATTTGCACAAACAAACAAGCCATGTCAAGGAACACACACTTCTCTTCTTCATCCAACGCATCAAAGCTTATCTTCAGCACATCATGAAGACACGCTGGTCGAATCTGCTTCACCTTCTCCACTGCATCTTTCCATTCCCTCTCCGTCCTCTTGTCAAACAGAAAAGAACCAAAAACTTCCAAGGCCAAGGGCAACCCTTGAGTCTTCTCCACAATTTGGTTTGCAAGATCCAAAAAACCCTCTGCAGGTTCCTTTCTTCTCATTGCATGGTAACAAAATAGTTCTAGTGCTGCTGAGAATTTCAACTCCTTCACCTCATAGTGCATGTCCACATAACTCTCACGTAAAACTTCTTTGTCCCTTGTGGTTATCACAACTCGGCTTCCTTTGTGAAACCATTCCCTCTTACCCATCAAAAAGTTAAGATGCTCCACATCATCCACGTCATCTAAGATCAACAAAACTCGATTCTCTTGCACTATTCTTTTGATAGCAGCAATGCCATCGTTTACATCATTTATGAGACCCTCTTTTGAGTCTTTTCCACTCTGGGAAAGATCACTGCGAAGTGTGTTTTGGAGAGAAACCAAACCACCGTGTTTGGAGACTTGTGATCTAACATTTGGGATGAAACTGCGACGCTCGAAATTGTGAACGACGAGGGTGTTGAAGAGGGTCTTGGCAAGGGTTGTTTTACCAACCCCACCCATGCCGTACAACCCCAGAACTCTTACATCGTTGGATTTTACGTCTAACAGCCTTTTCAGTTCTTCGACTCTTTCTTCTAGCCCAACTGTGTACGGAGCCACATTCAGAGGTGTATTTCTCATCTGCTTCAGAAGCGTTTGCACCAAAATCTGAATGAGGTTATCAATCTTGTCACTATCACTGAAAAAACAAAACAGAAAACGAGTGAATCGACACAGTTCAAAAGCATCACACGACACATGCTTGTCAAAAACAAAACAAAACAAAACGTTCAACCTTTGTTCATCAACAACATAACCAGCGATTCCTCCCACTTTTTTCATGGCATCCCTCCACTGCTGAACACTCTCTTGGGAAAACCTCTCTGCATGGGACGCGAAAGCTCCCTCGAAGGAACGACCCTTCTGCTTTCTGACATCCGAAGGGTCGACGCAGTAGAATACGGGAAGGACGAGCCTCTCAACCTCGCAAATCTTGGCCAGTTCTTCCAGGCACCAGTGCGAGGACGCGTAATCGGGAGAGAGAACCACCACGCAGGCCGCAGAGTCTTCGATGGCCGCCAGAAGGTTCTTCTGGATATCGCCGCCGCGCTCGAGGCCATGGTCGTCAGGGAAGACGCGGAGGCCGAGGCCGAGGCCGAGGAGCGCTCGTTGGAGGTTGATGGTGAAGGTGTGGCACGTGTCGTATCTGCGGAAGCTGAGGAAGACGTCACAGCGGAGCCTGAAGGACGGTGGAGGAGGAGTGACGTGAGTTTCCGGCGTCATTGGAGAGAGAGTAAAGTGAAGTGGTTGGAAGATGTGTTGCTTCTTTGGTGGGCATTGGGCAATGATTATGAAGGTCAGTTTCTGTGGCTTCTATGGCTTCAGCTTCACTTGTGGATCCTACAAGTGTGTAAATCACTAATTAATGCTCTTTACTCTTTACTCTTTAGCTTTTACCCTCATAAAATAAATAAATGCTTCATTGTCTATTCATAATATATTAAGTCTCAACTGTGAGACATTGACGTAAACAAGTATTGAGTTTGTGTTGATTGGAGGAACTAGGAAGGGTCTCTTTCACATGATGACAGTAAACCAAGTCTACCCGAGTCGACTATTGGAAACTTATCCAATTTCATTGGTCCACACCCTAAATCCAGGTCAATGAAGTCTATCTATGGGTTAGTGAATCATATTAATGATGCATATACCAAACTTTAGCATGCAAATGTAGCACTTGAAAACTCAGTTTTGGTTTTCTTTCGTGATTCTAGAAAAGTAAAAAACATAAAATAAAAAAGCATTTACCCATTGTATATATCTGTTATAAATTTGGAAGGTTTATGCATGTTTCTTTTTTTTTTTCTTCTTAAATTTAGGGTAAATTTATTTTTAATCTCTTAAATTTAAAAATTATTATTTTAGTCTCTAAAATTTTTAAAATTTTTGTTTTAACTTCTTAGATCACTAATAACATATATAAAAATAATAGATTGATACAATTATACAAGATCAACTGAGTTTAATGTGATTCTTTTTTACTAACAAGAATACTAATAGGTAGAATTTATGTGACGGTATTTAACAAAATTTTAATATAAGAATTAAAATAAAAATTTTTAAAATTACATGAAGTAAAAAGACTAATTTTAAATTTGAGAGACTAAAAATATATTTAAACCAACTAAAAAAATAATATTTATCATATGTTTGGTTGAGTGAAATGAAAGTAAATAGAAAAGAAAAATATGAATTACGTTTTTTTAATTGTTTGGTTAAAGAAAAAATGAAAGAAAGAGAACAGAACTGTTGACATTTTAGAGATATTAACTTACATCACTAATTATAAGACTAATTTATTGTCATTAATTATGAGACTCTTTCAACTAAGTTACACTTTTTAAGAAAATTAGTTAATTTAATTAAAAATATTAAATTTATGAATAATTTAAATTATTTTTCCAAAATTACCTTAACATTTTTTAAATAATTTTTTTCCTTTTTTAATTAATTATTTTTCACCTAATTAATTAATATTTAAAAAATATATTTATGTGTCTATTTATCTTCTTCAATCTTAATATGAGAGAAAATTTTTATTCAATTAATTTCAAACATTTATTATCTTTTGTCTAAAAGAATTATTAATTAAATAAAAATATTTTAAAAAAATATAATTAATGAAACTCGTAATATTAAAAAAGGGGTATATAAACGGAGAAGTAAAAAGTGAAAAGGCCTTTTTATATATAAGCAGTACGTAGGATTTAAATTTTTTCCTTCCTTTCACTTTCTTTTCATTTGAATTTTAAATTTTTTTTTTCTTTTCTCCTTCACGTTCCTTCCTTTCATCCAAACTAGATCGATGATGCACAGACAATATATAATGAACGGAAAATTCAAATATTCGTTAGCATAAACCAAAAAATTAAAGGAAAAATATTGAATAGTTTGGAGAATAAAATAAGTTTTTTAGAAATATTTTTAAGAAAGGAAAAAATATAAGAAGAGAATAATATATATAAATCTTATTTTAGAGTTTATTTGGACAAATAACTTAATTAAAATCTTATTTAATAAACTCAAATATTTTCTCATTTTAAAAATTAAAAATAAATATTAATTGAAAATAAAATAAAAAATTTATAAAATATTAAATAATTTCAAAAAAGATATTATATATCACAATAATATTGAAAATAATAAAAAAAATTATAATCATCATTCACCTAATTTTAATTTATACAAATAAATTAATAATAAAATATGATAAATCAATTAAATAAGTATATATATATATATATATATATAATCATGATTAAAATTTATGAATCATATTTTATAAATACATCACTATTTTTTTTATAAAATTTATGAATCATATATATATAATCGTTTGAAGTCATTTTACGGATTATTCTAACACAGTATAAATACTGATATAAGTGTTTTTAGTGGTATTATTGTATAATTAATTTCAAACAAGGCAAAATAGTGCAGTTATGAAAATATCATAAAACTTAACTTCATTTGTTTTTTTATATTATTTTTAATGAAGAAATATGGAATTACTTTAAAGTTAAAGATCAATCTCAACGTTATATATATTTTAAACGATTAGCCATGAAAGTTAAGGAGTATAACACACTACAAAAAAAAATAGGTAATTACTGGCGGTTTGTTTTTTTGCGGTTTCCATAAACTGCCAAAAAATGTTACTAATTGTACAAATTATTGACACTTTCTGGCGGTTTTAAACCACAGGAATGTAATCGTTACAGGTGTTGGCACTTTATGGCGGTTTTAAACCGCCAGAACGTTCAATAATTTATTTATTAAAATTAAACTTTAAAAAAACATGTTTAAAACGAAATCCGGCAAGTAACGGTAAGCACGAAGGGTACCTTGGGGGAAAAGATAAAAATGGAGGCAAACTGCGTCCCTTTTGAAAATTTCACAATTTCACTAACAATAATAGCAAATATCATAAAGAAGAGAAAACAAACTTGCAAGAGTAAGAGACGAAATTGAAGAAAACCAATTCGGAAGAGAGTGAACTCAAAAGCAAACTCTTTCTGAATACTACAGCCAACAGGGGCAAAACATGGACAAATTCTTCTTGGTTTCCTTACTCGGTTTGCTCATAGCAACTCATGGAGTTGTAGGAAACATGATGTGTGACAACATTGGCTTGTTTTTTCAAAACTTTTCCAGATCCAAAACATTGGTTGCAAATGGTGGGCAGCATCATGTAAAAAGAACAAGTTAAATGTAATTTTTTCAAAATTTGGTCTTGGTTATTTTGAAGTCTTAAATAATAACTTTTCTGATTTTCCTCTTATTCTTTGTCACAGCCTTGCAAAGGTGCACCAACAGTAAGAGCCACTTTTTTAACCATTCTTTTCTTTAATATGTGTAATGAGTCAATTCTTTTGAGTTTCAAATGTTGCTTTGAGCATTTAGGACGAAGTGAACCATGGAAACATGATTCATTATCAAAATTCATCTTTAGTAGACATTAAAATAAATTTATCTTTTTGGTTTTATATCAAAATTAGTAAAATTGTTATTTAAGAGTAACTTAAATTAAATAATAATATAATATAGTCATTATTAATTTTAAATTATTAATATAATTAGTAATAATTTTAAACAATAATTTGATAAATACCTAAAATATATAGATTATTATTTCTCAATTTATAATATGAATGTGCTTTTAAAATAATTTTTAATCTATTTTTTAAAATAAGAAAAATGTATTGATATAATGTAGAATGACATTAAACTGTCAGAAAATGTGAGAAAAATAAAAAAAAAA